GCTCCTGAGGAGATGCCGCTGATGCCGACGCTGACGCACCCTCTCCCTGCGGGCGAGCTGTCTCTGCCGTGGCCGGCACCACCCTGCTTCCCGACAAAAGGGGACCACCCAACCCCCCCCTGCCTGTACCAGCCCTGGGGACACCCCCCCTGCCTTACCAGCCCTGGGGACACCCAACCGGGGACACTCGTGGCACCCCACAGCCCCTCTGTGTCCCCCCCACTCACATATTTGAAGGAGAGGACGATGGCAGTGACAATCCCGGTCACCATGACCACAATGCCCAACACGCAGAAGAGCCCTGGGCACGATGTAAAATCAACCTGCCGGGGACACACATATGTCACGGGAGAGCTCAGGGAGTCCCCACCGCCTGGCTCCCTTTGCCTGACCCCCCCACCAGGGCAGGGCAGGGCACATCCCCCTCCTCACCTTGGTCTGGAAGCAGAAGATGGTGACAATGATGGCCACGATAGCAGTGATGAGCATGGCAATCAGGACAGCACTGGTGTCATACATACTGCAGACAGAGGGGACAACAGAGTCACTCCATGCTTGGTCACCCCCCCACAGCCCAAATCCTGGGCAGGGATTCCACTGTCCCCAAGCCCAGGGGACCAGGGTGTCCCCCAGCTCCCAGCAGCCCCTCATTTGAGGCAGCCACGTGGTGAAGAACAGGAGGGACCCCAGCTCCTGTCACCATGGGGTCCCTGGGGCATACCTGGCGATTGTCCCCGTCATGAACCCCATGGCCAGCGTCTGTGGGAGAGAAGGGTGGGCTCAGCAGGACGAGTGGCACCATGGGGGCCAGCAGTTCCTGGCTGTCCCCCACCTGCCCACACATCTTCCCGTTCCTCCCAGCCCGCCTGAGGAGCTGGGGTGCCATGGGGGCACCACTGAACACCACTCCCCCCAAAACCGGCCCTGGCCCACTCACGAAGAGGCTCAGCAGGATGATGTTCCAGGGGAAGCGTCTCCTGGGGACGAAATGGGGGGAGAGAGCCCCCCTCCATATCCACACCCTTCCACCCCGGGGGTCCCAGCCACCAGTGACTCACCGGGGACCCTGGCAGCAGGCCAGCACCAGGTAGGTCACCACAAACACGGCGCTGCAGAGAGAGACAGTGGGTGTCAGCCCTGAGACACCCCCCCCACACACACCGGGACTGCCCCCCTGGCCTGGGAGGCTGCAATTGCGGGGTACTGCTAGAGGACACCCCCGGGGGGGGAGCGAGCCGGGGGACCCCTTACTCACTATGAGGCGTAGTAGACGGCGACATTCCTCCGGACGAAGGAGCGGACGGGGGAGCTGCGGGACAGGAGGGATGGGTGTGAGGGAGGGAGGACAGCAAGTGCTGTCCCCTTGGGACCCCCCCCCCCGCAGGGGACACGAGGCCAGGCTCCCCTATTTTTCAGGGCAAGGCTAAGGGGGGACCCTTCACTCACACAAAGGTGAACATGGCGATGATGCCCACCGTCACCAGCAGCTGCAGGGAGATGATGGCATAAACCTGCAAGAGGCGGGGGGATCAGCACCCGGTCCCCCACCCTGACAAGTGCCCTCCCACCCTGACGGGGTGCCCCCAGCCCCCCCAGCCTCACCTTGCGGATGAAGGT